ACTGATGGAAATAAGAATTATAGCTCGTATGATCTGTCCTGAAAATAGAAATATTGAAAAAAAACATTAGCAATATGATAGCAATATTTCGCTGTGGAAAAATAATTCATCTCCCACAAGGCCGGGTAAACGTCTTTGGACTCAGTCAAATAATGAAAATGCAGATTCGGCAGATCCTGGCCCAAATAATTAAAGGCAGTGGATGTTAGGATGGGAAATGGATGGAATATACGAATACACTCGAGATCTGGAGTGAACTTTAGTACACGCAAGCAACCTCATTGTGAGGGCAAACGTTAATTGTTACCAAAGAATTGACCGTATCGACGCATTACTATGTGTATTTTCGTTAGGATGATAAGCATAACACACACACGGCTGACATTAATTTTACTATTTAAAAGAAAGTGAACTTCTAATTAAAGACGTGCAGTCAATAAATGTAACGTTTAAAATATTGAGAAATCCGGTTACAAACACGAATAGCTTAACCTCATTTTGTGTATCAATATACAGTTATTAGATGTAGATTTCTAATGTCCAAACAAGAGATGAACATTTAATAAGGATTTAACTGAGAATGATTGTTTCCAGTGACCTCATTTGGGGCAAACATACATGAATTTCGGTCTCCTAATTGGAAAATATTTGTGTTCAGCTGAGAATTTTATTTAGTTGGAACTCTCAGCTTGCAGTTAGCAATCATTTTATAAGAGAGATGTGTAGTTAAACATATGTTAACGCTAAATATGTTTTCACTAATAATAATAATAATAATAATGACATTTTTTTATATAAAATATTTGGGCAACTTCATACAAGTTTCTGTAAAAATGGCAGACATTATACAAGGATGAAGAATTTTATTCATATTTCCTTGTGTTCGTATTGGTGATTTCATTTCTGGACATTATATATATGTATATAAAAATATATATGTATGTATATATATATATATATATATATATATGTATATATATATATATATATGTATATATATATATATGTATATATATATATATATGTATATATATATATATGTATGTATATATATATATGTATGTATATATATATGTATATATATGTATATATATATATATATATGTATGTATGTATGTACATATATATATATGTATGTATATATATATATATATATATATATATATATATATATATATATATATATGTATGTATGTATATATGTATGTATTTATATATATATATGTATGATATATATATGTATGACAGAATGATAGGATGAAAAGAAAAGAAAACAAATTGTATATAAGACAGAGGTATATAATGTCTGAATATAAACAAAACAACAAAAATTAAAAATAACTGAATTTTCTGAAAACATACAAAGAAAACAAAAACAAGACAGAGGAGTGTGCGTGCAACAAAAAATTAAAAAACTAACACACACACTAAGTGTGCGTTAAAAAACACAAACACACACTCACATATAAATAAATAAATATGCATCTGAATCCCTAACAGAATAGAAATAAAATTCTGGTGCGCATTAACAAGAGAGATTCACGTGAAGGTTGCATGGCTAAAAAGAAACATACATAAAAATTAAACATACCACATAATTTTACTCCTCCATACATCATTCTCTGAAGATCCGTTAACAAAAGCGAAACATGTTAGATTTATAAACATATTATACTTGTTATACTATAACACAGAGTTTCAGACACACATACATATATATATGAAATTATAAATATATATATATTATTTGTATATTATATAAAATATTTATATATATAATATATATAAAATAAATATTATTCATATATATATATATATATATATATATATAAAATAAATATATATATTTTATATATAAATATTTACACACACACACACACACATATATATAAATATATACATATACATATATATATATATATATATATATATATATATATATATATATATATATATATATATATATATATATATATATATATATATATAATTCAACATTGAGCCAAATATCAGAGCTGACAGTGTTTCACACTAAATGCAATCATCAGGCCTGATGATTGCGTTTACCATGAAATAGTCTGTTGCTTCAGAGTTTTGATTTCAATGTTCAATTTTATATTTACTTAGACTATATCTCTGATAATAGGCTCTTTATCCCATGAATATAGCATACCTTAAAACTATATTACTTCATATATGTGTGTGTGTGTGTAAAGAATCAATTTATTTTTGTTTTATTTATTAATCCATCATATTTCTATTACTTAAAATTTAGCCACTAAAATATAACGTTTTTGTAATAAAATAGTACTCGTTGTAATATAACAGTGCTATTGATTACACGTTATTAAATATACATTATTTTACTCCCCGATGAGGGAAAACTTTTTTTTCTTTTAATTTATAGACGGTGTAACTATGTACAGGTGTATCAAAAATAATTTTACAAAGTTTAGGGCGGATTACTGAAACGAAAATTTTGGCCAACTTTTATATAAAC